GGATGTTCCCTTATCATAAGGTTACTCTTTATTTTGTTTTACAATTTCCGGACAAAAATGGCTAATCCAAATCATGTTACAACATTTACCGAATATAATACAAGATGTAAAATAAATATTTGTGGAAATAACAATTTTGTTTATGGTTATAGGAGATTTTTACATTTACATATTTTCCCTTAAATAAATTTTGATTTAACCGTTTTCATCTTTCATATTTTATAAGTTACGATTTAATCATTTATTATATTCTTAAGTTATGTTTTTGGTTCTTTACATAATTTGTTTTATAGTTTTGGTTTTTATTAATTACAAAAGAGCTTCTTTACACAATGGGCGTAGTAACTAGTTGGGAAAATGACATTTGAGGGTAACTAACTGTTGCGTTTGTTCTCATTGGGTCCCTTTCATTTTTTGTAATCACAATACCATCGAACTTGTTGTTTGTGTTCACCATAACCCTTTTGACCGACTTTTGATCTGCTATCACCTTTGATAGCCGGTCAAAGGGTTATGGTGAACACAAACAACAAGTTCGATGGTATATTGAGTACAAAAAAAAAGGACCAATGAGAACAAACTCAACAATTGGTTACCCTCGTGAGTCATTTTCACCAAAAAGTTAAATAAAATTTAAGTTGCAAAAGTATCAAAGACTGCAACCTTCTTTGGCCATAACGTACATGAAGAGCGTTTCGGAGGAGTAGCTTCGTTAAAACATGGTCTATGCTATGTTTACTGTTGTTAGCTGTCAACACCTCTCTGCAAAAGGATATAACTGTGTATGAGAGGTATATTTATCAGCATAAACGTTTACCTCAAGGTATGTTAAGGTGATGTGTCTGCAAAAGCTGCATGATCTTGTACATATTGATGTTGTATCTTCTCCCATAAATTCGATCTTAAAGCCAAGTAAACTCAAAAATCACAACACTTGTGATTCCACTCGTTTGTAGACTTGTCCAGAATCCATTATACGATAAATCATTTGATTGGAAATGTAAATGTAGTCATGAAATGCACCTGATTAGTTAAGATTCCTCTAATAAATATTCAAGTGCATTACAAAGTTGTATATGTATGAATAATGTTCTTTCGTGGGTTATGTTTTGAAGAAAAACAAAAATGAATCTCATAAAGTCATTAATATAAGCAGGAGATGACGTGAGATTTTATGTAAATGAGTAAAGGGAAAATGACCCAGGAGGGTAACCAACTGTTGAGTTTGTCCTCATTTGGTCCATTTCCTTTTTTTATACTCAATATACTATCAAACTTCTTGTTGTGTTCACCATAACCTTTGACCGGCTATCACAGGTGATGGCCGGTCAAAAGCCGGTCAAAAGGGTTATGGTGAACACAAACAACAAATCCGATGATATATTGAGTACAAAAAAAGAAAAGAAAGCAAATAAGAACAAACGCAACAGTTAGTTACCCTCAAAGGTCATTTTCCCTAACTAGTTATATATAAAGAATATGATATCCTCTATTATCTTGATTTAAATTTTTAAGATTATTTACGGTACAAAAATAAAACTATAGAATCATTCTATTCCATCTTAGCCAAAGATATGATAAGGCCAAAATACAGATTTTCCCGCTTGCGATGCCAACCTGTCTTCCAGCAAACGTACTATCAAAACTTAAGGGACCCCCACATTTTCCCGCTTTTATGTAAATTAGTAACAAACCCCTTGCACTTTATGATAATGACAGGATTGTCCTTTTACAATGTCAACAATCCGATGTCAAACATACCTCATCTATTAATTGGTTATATACTGTGTTTATAAAGATACTTCATGTATTCATGGCATCTATACAAGTACTTCATAGTATAAATTTGAATTAATGAATACTGATCCTAAAACAATTTCTTAGTAATATTACTAATATATATGTCAAGAAATGTAGATTGCTAGCCATTAAATGATTGACCATAAAGAATAATGAAAAACTTCAATTAAGGTACATGAGATTTCGTCTGTATATACTATATACTATATAGTACTTGAAAGTAGGAAAAATAGAGTGTAGGGGGGCAAGTGATACTTTTCTCAGTTTACATTTCAATCACACCACATTTGAACTTATCCAAAAAATCATTGGTTAGTTGTTTTCGTTGCATATAGCCGACAAAAAGACTGTTTTCATTAGCAACAGGTTTCACATCCACTATCAATAGTTTAATATGCTTAGATGGTGTTAGTGATCTAATCAACCTGATGTATGACGGACTTTTATCAAGAAATTATATATATGATTGTATGTTTTAAGTTTAATGTAAATAAAAAGCCTTTATCCTTGTACTTTTAGAAAAGACTAGCTTTTGTATAGGGACCCATGATCTAGACCTTTCTTTCGCCCCGTATGTAATTCGGACCCATGATCCGGAACTTCAAATCAGTCGGGTTTCGACCCGCAAAAACACACCCGAACGTGAAAACCCGACCCTTGTCGGATGCGGGTATCATCTTGTATACATGGAGCATGAGAGGGCCATCGGGTCACAGATTCTGATTGCATTCGCGTACTGATCATCCAAATGACCTTCATAAAGATTTTTAACACGGTATCGTTGAGTAGTGTGGGTTGAATGCATGAAATATTATCATTTCAAATAAAGCAGTAGCAGCTAGAAGGCATGTCTACATAACATGTTTCATCAAAACGTTTTTTCTTCACCTTTCATGGTGACACCGAGTTTCGCCAACATAGGCCAAAAGATATGAATGTCAACAAGTCATCCAAATGACATTCATAAAGATTCACATACACAGTATTTTTTTTTTCATACATAATAATAGTATGTTTTATAGAGTTATACAATATAAAATTTAAAACACAAATTGTTATATATGGAGAAAACTATTCTGTACGAATTAACTCCCATTGTAAAACACTAGCTGTAATTGAAAACTATCAGCTTTCCTTCTATTTATTTCGAGAACAAGAAAATATGATGTTCTTACATTTCTTTCAGAAAAAAAAAAAACACAATAAAACAATTTCGTATTTCATATCATTCCCATCTTTTCTCTCATTTACATTTCTCTCTCAAGAACTAGACTATGATATTCTTACCTAATATCCTTAATCTTTCATGATGGTCACTTCTAAAAAATATAGTTTTTAACTAACTTCATAAACAATAATTTTTATATACCACTTATGAGCCTCTCATATTTTCATTTTATGAAATATCAAGACATACATGATACTAAGTGTATGATCAAATATGAGATAAACTTACTTAAATAGAAATTGACTTGTTGGTAAGATAGATTTATAATTAATAACTACACTTAACGATATTATAAATAAAAATTAATTGCAGATAATGAGAGACAGTTTCGAAAAAGAAAGTTGTAAAGGAATTTATTATTTGACAAAAATGAGGTTAATTAATGGGAGGGGGGACGACATTTCAGATGACTTGGAAAGACAACCACCGCAACTGATGCTTGAGGTACAAAAGCCACCACCATTCCCTTTTTGTGCCCTCTTCCACTGATTATTTATAAAATTCGTACATCATATACCAGCTTTACGAAATGACCAAATTGTCCTATTATGTTACTCTTTTGACATTTATTTATTTATTATTATTATTTTTTTAATTATCCTTTTTTATGTGGAGGAGATGTTTTATATGAATCTCATTTAGAAAAAGTTAAAAGTCTAGATATCACGTTATATATAAAAAGATTAAAGATAATAAACAAATAATTCTGATAGCTAGGTTAACCAGCCCTAATATATATGTAATGGCACGATTGTAATAAAGGAGAACGACAGACCGATTTCTTAAGGGAGCCTTCTAGTTATGGGGCATATATATTATACTCGCACAAAAGCAATATACAACCATGCATGTCTATCCATTTCTTCATTTGGAATTTGTAGACGTAGCCTTTTACTGGTGGGGACTCTCCCAAAAGATCTCAACGAAAAACAGCCCCCCACCACCGCCGATAACCACCGCCACCGCCACCAGTACTTTCAATGCTTTAAATCGCCTGATCACAACTTGACATGAATGGGAAATGAAAAACGTCTCACCACCAACACAAGATCCCGATCAAGAGGATAGATCGACGTCAGCGACGAAGTTTGAGTGGGATTTTTCCGTCTCCGCCGTGGTTTCATCCTCCGTTGCCGGTGGAAACATCTCGGACACTCTCGGCGTCGTAGAGGTTAACTCCTCCGGAAACCTCTTTGCTACCGGCGGTATAGCTAGGAAGATCAGAGTTTATAGCTTGAATTCATTGCTATCATCAAGTCGTCTAGAGGCAACATTGTTTGACCATGCTACTGCATGCCATTATTGCATATGTACCCCAGCAAAACTCAGCAGCCTCAAATGGAAACCCGGGTCCGGAAGCCAGGTCATGGGATCGGCCGACTACGACGGTGTTGTCACGGAGTACGATCTTGAGACCAAGATGCCGGTTTACGAGCGTGACGAACACAGCGGCCGGCGGGTTTGGAGCATGGACTACTCCCACTGGGATCCGGTTGTCGGAGCATCTGGTGCCGATGACGGAACCATGCAAATGTGGGACCCGCGCCATGATGGTGGGAAATGTGTGGCTAAAGTGGTGTTAGGGAGTCCAGTTTGTTGTGTGGAGTTCAGCCCGTTTGGTGGCGCATTGGTAGCCGTTGGATGTGCCGATCGAAAAGCCTACGTTTACGATGTGAGGAAAATCGTTGACCCGGTAGCGGTGTTTGATGGGCATCAGAGGACGGTAAGTTACACGAGATTCCTGGATGATCACACGGTGGTGACGTCCGGCACAGATGGGTGTTTGAAGATGTGGGACATAGAGAAGCAGCACATGATTCGCACGTATAAAGGGCACACAAACCAAAGAAGGTTTGTGGGATTATCCATTTGGAGAAATCAAGGATTGATTGGATGTGGGTCTGAGAGCAACCAGTTGTTTGTATATGATAAGAGGTGGGGCGAACCCATATGGGTGCATGGGTTCGAACCAGAGGGTGGAAGAAGGTATGAAGATGGGTTTGTGAGTAGCATATGTTGGAGCCAAGAGGGTGAAGATGAGTGCACGTTGGTGGGTGGTGGTTTTGATGGAGTTGTAAAGATTTTTTCCGGAAAAAGAAAACCGTTAACTTAAAGGTGATAAATGTTTTTTCTACATTTCTTCCTTTGGTAAGAATTAATTACTTTGTAACTTGGATTTCAATTCATTACATAAATATGCAAATACTTTATCTCGTTGATAAAGAGTTATCGACTTAATTTGTTTTTCTTCTCTATCTTTTATTATCCATATGCTCTTCGAATTTGGATATGCTAATGCTCGTTGATAGAGTGTATCAAATTAAATCAGTAAATATGCAAACGTTTGTGGTACTACACCTAATATATAGTACGATTGCGTGGGTTGGCCCAAGGATGATCAGAGTATAGAAGTCTAATTAAGCATGGACTTTGAAATGTAAACTGCAATTGCCAAGTATGTTTGGTAAATTAAGCTATGTATTAGGTCGCTTAACTTGAAGGAGAAAGTTAAGATGCACACATATATATACTCATGATTTGATTGATATTATTTGTCTTTGGTGACATGAATATTAGCATGTTAGGATGCGAAGAGCAATCATTACTACTAACACATACCAAGCCTTGAAAGCAAAATTGATGAAGTAATTATGAGATAGGAAAACAAATGAAAGGATATAGACAAAACAGGATGCATTGAAGAGTATGTATCGGGGAGAACACAACCTTCGAGCATTTACATCGAGTATTTACAATGGGACTTATTTTTAAAGCCTTTTTTTATTAAGAATTTGTTACCATTAAATCATACAACTTAGTTATTTTGTTTTGTTTTTTTGTCTTGTTTTTTTTTTCAATATATTTTTATGTTTCGAGTCTTTTGACATTTAACCGTGTTTGGATGTCAAACCACCAAATAAATGGATAAAATAATAATTATTAAACGAGACTTTTGACATTTAACCGTGTTTGGATGTCAAACCAACACATAAATGGATAAAATAATAACTATTAAACACAAATCAATGCTATAGTATACTAAAAGATGGTAGAGAATAAAAAGGGTCAGATTACAGAGATACAAAACTTAATGTTTGATCATATTTCCACACATTACATTACTAATTGTTAAAAAATGGTATGTTATTGACATTAAATGAAAATTCATAAAATAGACAAAGTAAAGATTAATATTCAGAATTTAAAGAATATCTCTCATTCCAAATCCTATTCAAAAACTACTATGTAAGATGTAATGTGACATCAATTCAAGTCCAATATAAGTTGGTAATTAAGATGTCCAAATTCACAAAAGTATTTTACTCAAAATATGATCTTTAAATAAAACTTCAATTAGAAGATAAAATCCAAACAAACTCTTAGATTAGATCACTAAAAGACTTTAAGTTCATGCAATTAATACCAACAATATCCAATATTTTTCATAAGTTAGATAATATGAACATTTAATCTTTGATTACACTAATTTTGGTTCATTTGAAACCAATGAAGTGATTGTCACTAACTTCAAATCACAAAATATTTACGGATTTTATAATTTCACTAACAAGATTGATATTAACCCTAATTTGATTTATCAAGTGAAAAGAACACAAAATCAAACATGTAATGAAACAAAATCAAAGATTACTAGATTAATAACATGAAATTAAGTTCACATAACAATCAAAACAAATAGTATTTAGAATCTACAGTAAAAAATGATAAGGAAAAGTTAGTCACAAATGGCTAAACTGCAGTACAAATTCAACAAGTTTGATCGTAAAACAAACTAACAAAACCAAAGAAATAGCGTTTCCAAAGTACTTAATGATGATAAGTTCTTCCCAAAACCGCCCCTTCCAAATGTAAGTTCGAATTCTTTTGACAAATTGTAACACCGCAAATTTTCAAATAAAATTTTCATTTAAAACACAATAAAACACATGCCACATTTGCTCAAAAATCACAAGTATCAATTTATCAACATATTTCAAAAGTTGTTTATCACAAATCCAGGATCCTCCGATAATATATCTCTACTCAGATGTGTGTACAATCGAGTCGGTGCCTTCCCGCGATCCTGATAAGAAGATGGAACACATAACACATACACAGTAAGCACGAAGCTTAGTGAGTTCCCCAAAATACCACATACAACAATTTGCCACTCGAGGCTATACTCTGTAAGACCCTCCGGTCTATGTGTCTCAGCGGGACCCTCCAGTCCCGTAGCTCGTTGGACCTTCTGGTCCGGTCTAGCTCGTTGGACCCTCCAGTCCGGTCTGATTGAGAACCCTCTGGCCTCATAGTTCGTTGGACCTTTCAGTCCGGTCTAAGCAACAAACAATATAGCATACAATACATATCACACAATCATGCATAACTCAAGCAAGCACATAAGACCCTCTGGTCACACATAATTACCACTCTAGGTAAAGTATAGTGAGAAGACTCATCTGACAAGCAGCAAGTAAATAACCTCGCACCCGAATCTCGAACTAGCCTCTGCCAAACACAAGGGATGAATATCACTAATTAATACTCTTTTCACAATTCAAACAACCGAAGGCTATTCTTTCTC